AATACTCGTATTCCAAAAGATGAATTCTACGAAGCAGTCAAATACCTTCCAAGAATGTACTAAGCGTTGTATAAATTTACAATGATTGTACAATGAAGGCAAAAAAGTAAGAATGTAGTTTACTTCTCCAATAAAGAAAATATTATCATAATTGTGTTAAAAAGTATAATAAATAAATGTATATATTCAAAAGCCAGAATTTTGTTTAAACATTATTAATTTTTTGGTTTCAATTTAATAACTAGTCCATGTCTGTCATTTCAAGTATGGGCGTCACAACATCAAAAAAACAAATCTAAATAATTTTATTACTCCTTTTTTTTTGTTTCTTTTGTAAAGGTGTAAGGAATTACCAGATCACTTGCGTGCTGTTGTCATGTAAGTGGTTAACACGCCCAGTTAAGAGTTGGAAGATCTATAAATCGAAGCCAGGCCGAAGCGCAGATCATTTTCTAGATTTCCTGGTTTATAAAGCGTAATGTTCTGTATCAAAATAGCCCTATTTAACTTTCCCTCTTTAATATTGAGCATTTCTTCTTTTTACTTCCTTGTACGAAGTAAAGTAAGCATCGCAATCGCGAAAAATTTCGAGTATCATATTTCAAAGAAAATTTACATTTTGACCGCTCTCGAATTCATCTGGACGATGTATTTACGTGACAACTGTACGTAAGGACAGAATAAAAGACTCTTTTTCCCAAAACGGATTAAAAAATGGATTTAAAATAGATTTAGAAGAGGTTTTTTCGTGACATCTGTACGTGTACGTATGTATGTATGTTATCTCGCATAACTCAAAAACGAGTTGTCTCTGAACGTTGAAATTTTGTATATGGGACTGCTATAACATTTAGTTGTGCTTCTTCCTTTTTGCTCCAGTCAGAAGTACCAAATGTATATAAATATACATTATATATACCCACTTCTGTCACTCGGCTCGGTGAGCTTAGTTTTTTTATTCTTATATGTTGGTAAATTGCGCATTTTTTGCTTTAAAGGTGATTGAATTATGTTGTTCTTATGTTTCAGTTAAAGTTTCTATGCCTTTAGTTAATCTGCATGCAATAGTTGTAGAATTACCAAAAATTAAAAAGGTGTTTAAGTGAGATTAAGGTTTAAGGGAGCAGACAGTTGTTTACGTTTGAAACTTAGTAGAATAAAGAATTAAGTCAGTTTCTGCACATTCAGTGTCTTTTTACCGAGTGGAACCAAACAACAGTAAACTTTAAGTTTTATGCTTCGAAAAATCTGCCTTCTTGCCTGCTAGGTGACTTGCTCGTTTTTGCGTAGAAATTCTAATTTTAATTACAAAAATTGTTTTTTATATATTTTAACTGTAATTAGTGTTTTATGTTTTTCCATATTTTTCAAATTTTAATGAAGATGTTTTCAGTTTTTAGTATTTTTGCCTTGCCACAAACTAGAAACTGAATTAATTGAATGAGATATATATTTCTAACGAAATTTGAAGAAATTAATTTAAATAAAATGCAGCAAAAAAATGTGTCGTTCAAAGAAGTTGTAGAGACATTAGGTATTTTGGAAGTAGGGTGATGAAAAATGAGCAACGCCTTCGCCGGGAATCGAACCATGGACTTCTGGAATATGCGCCCAGCGTGCAGACCGCCACACCACGAAAGCATGCTAGGAAGGCGGGAGAAATACCTTATAAAGTCATGTGGTGTCCACATCGGATTTTTTTTCTCATACGATTATGACTATAGTCTTGGAGTATCTTCAGATTATATATAAATCAGAGAAAACTCTCGGTAGGGAATGGAGCCTTTCTTGAAGCAAAGTTAAGCATAAACACTTCTACGCCCTCTGTCGATACAACAGAAAGACACTGTTATTTAATACTTTTGAAAACTTAAGAAAACAGAAGATAAGGAGCTACATTGTTATTCTAAACAGCGAAACTAAGAATTTAACTTTAAAAAAGTAGTTTTGACGTAAATTTTATAAATATTTCCTTAAAACTGGAATTAAAATCATTATTTTCTCTGATTTTCTGAAACACATAGCTCAAGTGGTCCGTTATATAACCTTTTAAGGCTGTTTAACTAAATGCGCTTGTGCAGAATACTTTTGTTCCTGAAGAAAGAAACGCATGTTATTTGTCTCGTCAAAAAGCATCTGATATTTTGTAATAATTATTAAAATAAGCAATCGTGAAGGCATGATGTGATTACCATATTTTATTTCATATATCGTACTTCACTTTCAACAAGCCAACGCAAATGTTTATTGAATAAAAGTTACAGGCTTATGATTGCAAATGTCACGTTACATTGATAAATTCAACAAGAATGCACACACACACGTATATATATGAATAAAGCAAATCTGATTATTAAGTTTGAATAAAAAAAACTGCACTAAGCAAGAAGAGTATTGCAGGAAAGGCTGAGATTTTTTTTAATATAGCGAGAGAAAAGGAAACATGTACGATCAACAGAAATCCATCTCAGCTTTTAGAGCATTGTGATGCAAACCTGATCGAGTCCAAAACTGTGTCCAATAAAACGTTAAGTTTCTATAAAATTCAGCTTTCTGTTGTTCAATATGCTTTTTTCCTTTCAATCATAAATCAGGAGATAATCTTGTAACAGATCTACTGAATTTAAATTCGTCCCACTGTTTTATACATATGTTACGGTGAAACACCGAAATCTGGAGAATGTCGACTTTCACCGGTGAATATCAACATTCATCGGTGAATGTCAACATTCACATAGTCTCTTGGTGTATGTCCGAAATATTTTCCAAATACTCTTATTTCTGACTTACAACGGTCAATGTCGACATTCATCATGTACTAATGGTGAATGTTGAACATATAACAATATTATATTTTCTTCTCCGTAATTCAGTCGCGAATAAACTCACTTGACACTTGAAATAAGAACTTAAGAACATGAGAACCTAAAACACACAATACATTCAAAATGAGAAAGGAAAATAATAGAAGTTAAAACTTACTTAATTATACAGTACGTGCTAAATTTGAAAATAAAATAACAGTCATAAAAAACTTACTAAATTATGTGATTCAAATCTTATTTATTGCAACAACTTAAACTATTATGGCACTTTATGACCTCTCTTTTCGACTTTCACCAGAGCATATCTGTGATTGTCGACATACACCGGTGAGGGTCCGAATATACAAGAATGTAGTGAAATATTCGGTCTTTCACCGACGCATTTGGTGAATGTTAATATTCTCCGGTGAAAGTCGACATTCTCCAATTTCGGTCTTTCACGGTAACATATAAATGAGAGAAAACTCTCGATAGTGAATGGAGCCTTTCGTGAACCAAAGTTAAGCATAAACACTTTTACGCCATCTGTTGGTACAACAGAAAGACACTGTTAATTTTGAAAACTTACGAGAACAAAAATATAGTAAAATTTTGAATGATTGTGCGATAATAATTTTAGCAGTGATAAGGAGTTGCAATGTTATTCTAAAACAGGGAAACTAAGAATTTAACTTCAAAAAATCTGATGTGTACACCACATGACTTCCTTCTACGGAATGTTAAATTATACGCCTTTGTTTCTTGCATTTCTTTTAAACTTATTGGATTTAATTAAATCTACTTCGTCGACAGCGCATGAACCACAATAGAATAAAGGCATTCTTTAAAATTCACTCTATTTGTTTAACATAGCGACACTCTGGCACTAGGTTCACTTAACAGTATTATATTTCATTCATATTATAACTCAGAATGCAAAAAATGTATATCATTTAAAGAATTATCTAATCGTTGCCACATGTTCTTTTCAAATACTATAATAAAGCTAGAACGATGTAAAAAAGAAATTAAGCAAACAAAACAAAAAACAGTTTTTCACAAACGATTGAGTATTTCTCATTCAATTAATTCAGTTTTCACTTCGCGACAAGACCAAAAATACATAAAAGCTCAAAATATCTAAAAAAAATTAAATTACTAATTATTAAAAATTAAGTAAATCTTAAACATTTATTTCCTCGAAAAAATTCCAGAAAGGATTAAGCATGATTTAATTCGCAATAATAAATGAAGGCGTTATTTTTGTTGTTGCGAAGCTTAGTCTCTCTAGATTGGCAACAAATCTACAATTCTGCTGTTTCAAATGTAAATAAATATGTCCGCCATGTTATTTAAAACTTAACCGCACTTAAACAGTTTTTAAATTGTTGATAATTGTACAAATATTGCTTCCAGAATTACGAAAGGCATAAAAACCTTAACCGGAAGATAAGAACAACATAATTCAGTCATTTTTTTTTAAAGCAAAAAATGTACAATTTACAAACATATAAGAGTAAAGAAACTGAGATCACTGTGCCGGGTAACAGAGTGGATATATATATAAATATAGTATTTATATATGTTTGGTGCGGCCGGTTGCAACCAAAATACGAGGTGCACATCTACATGTTATAGCAGTCCTATATACAAAATTTCAACGTTCTGAGGCTACTCGTTTTTGAGTTATGCGAGATACGTACGTACGTACGTACGCACGCACGTACGTACATACGTTCGTACAGACGCCACGAAAAATTCTCTTCAGAATTAATTTTATAATTTTTTTGGAGGAAACGAGTCTTTTATTCTGTCCTTACGTACAGATATCACGCAAAAAGATCGTTAAATTGCATTCGATAGTGGTCAAAATGGATATTTTCGTTGAAATATGCTGCCTGAAACTTTTCGCGATTACAATACTTCCTTTTTACTTCGTACAAGGAAGTAAAAAGTAGTTTTGACGTAAATTTTATAAATATTTCCTTAAAGTTGGAATTAAAATCATCATTTTCTCTGTTTTTCTGAAACAGATAGCTCAAGTGGTCCCTTATATAACCTTTTAAGGCTGTTTAACTAAATGCGCTTGTGCAAAATACTTTTGTTCCTGAAGAAAGAAACGCATGTTATTTGTCTCGTCAAAAAGCATCTGATATTTTGTAATAATTATTAAAATAAGCAATCGTGAAGGCATGATGTGATTACCATATTTTATTTATTACATATATCGTACTTCACTTTCAACAAGCCAACGCAAATGCTTATTGAATAAAGTTACAGGCTTATGATTGCAAATATCACGTTACATTGATAAATTCAACAAGAATGTACACACACACACACACACACACACACACATATATATATATGAATAAAGCAAATTTGATTATTAAGTTTGAATAAAAAAACTGCAGTAAGCAAGAAGAATACTGTAGGAAAGCTGAGATTTTTTTAATATAGCGAGAAAAAAGGAAACATGTACGTTCAACAGAAATCCATCTCAGCTTTTAGAGCACTGTGATGCAAAAATGATCGAGTCTAAGACTGTTCGCAATGAAACGTTAAATTTCTATAAAATTCAGCTTTCTGTTATACAATATGTTTTTTCGCTTCAATCATAAATCAGGAGATAATCTTGTAACAGCTCTACTGAATTTAAATTCGTGGTATGGCAGAATTCGTAGTAGTTGTTTTTACTTACTATTTTCTATATCAAATAATAATTACATGATAACAATTTTTTTAAGTCTTTCAATACGACTTCTGTCAAGTTGATAGCTCTGCTGCAACAGCGATGAAGATTTGGCTGCAGCCGTTATCAGTGTTGGATGCCTTCTTTCTTCCTTAGTATGCTGCAAGCTTTTTTTCTTCCGTAGTTAAGGATGTTGAAGATGGATTTGGACCATTAATGGTTCTCACAAGAAGAGGTGACCATATATATTCCACCGTAATTTCCAATACACAGTTCCCCAGAGAGTACTTTTCGTTCTGGTCGCCTTTATCCTTCAACCAACATGTGCTGAATTTTCCTTATGGGAATACCTAGGCAAGCAACTGGAATTGAAAATCCTTCATCAGATTTGCTATTAACAGTATCACTGGTGATATGTTACGGTAAGTAATGAGCAGCCTCCAATGCCGCTTGGATACATTAGTGTGATGCAACGAGGCGGTATTTGAAAAAAAAAAAAAAAAAAAACCTATTTGAAAACTGACTGATAAATGCGATTCCGTAATTACTATTTGACCCAAAAAAATAATAAATAAGAATAAAATTTTTCATTTGTGGCACGATTTAAAAACACGCTACAAAATGTACGCCGTCTTATGCATACACACAAATATGACGTATCAGAATTTTTATGGCATACCGGAATGCAGCATACACCTAAGGATTCACCACAAAAGTGGATTCTTCTTTAATATGTTTTGATGTGAAATTTTCCTCGATAGATGGCATCGTTAGAATCACAGTGTTGCAAAATTCGCAATTCTCTCACATTAAATATGATTTATTAGTTTTGAGAAAATAACGGAATAAAAGGAAGAGTCTACGTTTCGATAGAATATTACTTTTATTAAGCTTTTAAAAATGAAACGTAGAGATCAAAACTCATTGAGCAATAAATTTTAAGAGCTAATTAATAACACGTAAATGAGGAACTAATATTCGTTTTGCTTATCAATGTAAACAAAAGTAATTATTTCAAAGACTCAAGAGCAGAGTCGTAATTGGCTCGAAAGAACGAAACGTACGCATTTATAAGAAACATAAAATTCAACATTGTGTAGTATATATTAGTTAACATTTGTTAACGTATTACAGAATTACCAATAATGAGCAAGTAATCATGAGCTGCAAATGTACATACTCTTTTAGAGGAGTTTAATTTGCAAATTTTCGCGTAATTAATGATGCAGCGCCATCCATCGATGACATTTTGAACTAAAATTTAAGCTATGCCGAAAACAATTCGCCTGTCTGATAAGCTTTTAAATGCAAACTGCTCTTTGGTGTGCCACTTTATTTGTTTATGTAATTTTCTGAAGTGTATCAAAATTCATGAAACTGCAAGAAAATTACATGAAAAGCAAAATTTCATATAGAAAATAAAGTAGCTTTACATTTAGAATCTACTTGAAACAGTTTAAGTCCTTATATACGGCAGTTTTTCAGGTGCTCCATATCCTTTTCTTTGTGAGATGCTGCGACCTGAGATGACCTTGGGCGCTTTTTAATAATCACCTGATAACCAAATAATGATTTATCTAATCTTAATAATGATGAATCTAATAGTGTAATCTTAATGAAACAATGTTTAGGATCCTTTTATAACTGGGGGTCTGGAGTTTGGAGCTCGCTGCCATTCAAGAAATCAATCACTTCTGACTCATCGGAATCAGTGGCATTTGGTGAAAGGCCCAGCACGCAGTAACGAGTAGACCACAGAAATTCAGTCAGTTCCGTTCGAAATCTAGCGTCGATTAATTTCCGTCGCCATCGCTCACATGGTTGGTCTTCTGATTTTATACACTTAAAAAACCACTGAAAAACAGAAACAGAATGTTAAATTTACGAAAGTCGAGTTGCTAAATTTATACAAAGATTTAATCAATGAATAAAACACATACCTTTAATAAAAAAAAATAAACTTCTATTTCGATGCATTTAATAATTATTATTTATTTAAAATTAATCAATATTTTAGATAATTAATTGTTATTTTTCAAATTATGTATTAGTAGCTGTAATTTAACTGTTCCTGCCCATTTTAAGGCATCTTTGTTTAAAAACACTAGTTCATGCATTTCGTCCTAAGCCTCTAACATTTCTCATTTTCTTATGCATTTGCCTGCCAAAATTTTCGCACGCGATGGCAAAATCAACAAAAAGGAAAATTAAAGCTTTGAGTTACACAAAACTGCGCATGTAGATAGCAAATGTGTTTATGCTTAAAAGAAGGCAAGCAATCCATACAACACGAAAATAATATTTAATTTTCGTAGATTATATTATGGCATTATATGTGGATCATTAGAAACAAATGTTTAAAGCTAAAAACAAATAAACAAAACAAATTAGGTACGTGACCACCCAGGACCTACACACAAAATTTACAGCAATTACCCATGCTTTCAATGAGATAATCACCCACTGCAAATGCTAGCAATGGTCATTCTTCCTTTAAGGTAGTTTTCAACTGCCTCCTTCTGGATGAAGGATGTACACGTGCAGTTACAACAAGTTCTAGAATCTCGAAAGATTGGATACGCAACGATACTGGATCGATGGAGTTTGGTATAAATGTCCATAAAGAGGAAATCAGGACCAACTGCTGCAGCTTCGAGTTTCAAAAGAATGTAGAGCTTCATAGAGATACCATGCAGTCTTCTCAAAACCGTGACCAGGTCGGGAGGTGTACTTTAGTGCTTTGCTGTGAAGCTGTCTTCACCGTTGTAGCCTTGTGACGTTACAGCTACTAGCACCCCTCGCGGGCACAGGTGCTGAATTATAACTTCCTGTTTTGTTCGCGGACGAAATGGGCCATACCTGCAAAAAGCAGGACTGCAGAAAAAAAACCCTGGGAGTTTCCGGACACAAGGAACTAATTATGTTTCTCTTCGCAGATAACAAAACGAGTGAAATCTTTGTGAGAGAGTTCTTCATGTGATTTTGAGGTGACAGGACGCATCTTTTGCGTTCTAAACCACGCCAGTGGTTTCTGTAGAACAATACTTTTTTTATGCTGTAACTACAGTAAAAAGGACTTTTTTTGCGTCCAAGCTGCGTTAGCGGATATTGTATGATTTAGGGCTGTAATGATCAGTTTATTTTTATGCTTTAATCAAGAATCTATTTTAGCTTACCAAATAAATAATTTAAAAGACAACCTGTCTTTCTTTCACCCGACACGGGTGTTCTGACGTTACAGCCTGAAGGCTGTGTTGCTGATTGTTTCAGCGTGTTATTGTAGTTTTTCGACAGCTCTAAACGTGTCTTTGGAACTGTCCTGTGTAATGCAGGCAAATAAATTGTGTTTTGATTCTTCATCAAATATTATCATCAATTACTCAATCCACGAACCCGTAGAATGTAACAATATGCATTCGGTAAAGATTATGTTCTAATAGATAAACAGGTAAAAGTGCATGGAGCACCAGGCAGAATCGAAAAATATTGTACAACACATTAACCAGCTAGAGTTCAACAACCCTATGAAGTTGCCTAAGTTCGGTGATGATGCATACTGAATAAAACTAGACTGCGGCCGCATAACTACTCAAAAGGGATTGAGTGAAGGTAAAATCTTTTATCAAAAGATTTGAATCTTTCTCCTAAGAAATCATTACATTGGAGTTATAGAATGGGATTATTACTTTTAAACTCAAGTAGATATTAATAGAAAATTAGGCAAAGTTACGTAACACAAATTGTTGAGTATATTCATTACAATATTGGATTATATAAATAATACAATAGAGCTGATACTTCGGAGATCATTGCAATGAAATTTTTACATTTTTATGTAAGTAGATAAACATGTAGGATTTAATTTTACGAATAAACTCACTTCCAAAAGTTAAGCACGGAGAGGAAAATGCTAATTTTCGGAAGCCGATCAGAATTGAAGAAGATGCAATTCGCTGCAGAGGTAGATGGAAGTATGCAAATATGCTAGATAACAGCCAATCGCGCTTTCATGGCAAGAAATAGGCAAAAAAGGCAGTCTTATAAGAAGCCAGCTTTATGAAGGGTTACAGAAGTTGATTGTAAGTGCTGATAGAAGGAGTTTAAAACTTTCGTACAATTTTGTTTTCAAGACATACGTATTTCTATGACTTCCAGAAGACGAATGGAAGATTCTGAGTACTGGCGTGCTGTGGGGCGCATTGAAGCAGGACAGTCGATCCCAAATGTTGCTCTTTTCTTCGGCGTTCATCATTCTGTAATTTCACGTTTATGGAAACAATTCCAAACCACACAGACAGTTGTCCGAAGGCCCGTAGGCGGTCGCCCAAGGGTTACAACCCCCACGGTATCGATATATTGCTATTGTAGCCAAGCGGAATCGCAAAGTGATCTCCACACGTGTGACGTCTGCGGTTACAGCGTCCATCGGTAAGGCGATATCTGCAGCTACTATACGCCGAAGTTTACATATGAGTGAACTGTACGCCCGGGTATCTCGAGTTTGTGTTCCTCTATCCGTACAATTAAGAGGGGCACGATTACAGTGGTGCGGGGAACATGTCAATTGGAATGTGTCTGACTGGGGCAATGTCATGTTTACTGATGAGTCAAGATTTGCTCTGTAGCCAGATGACAAGCGTATAAGGATATGGCGGGAACAACAAACACGCAATCAGTCCCAAAACATCACCGAACATCAAGCATTCCGAGGCGGAAGCATTATGGTGTGGTCAGGGATTTCATTAGGATACCGCACCGACCTGAACATATTTAAACGTGGTTCTTTGACGGCTGTCCGGTATCGAGATGAAGTTTTAGAACCCATTGTGAGATTGTACGCTGCAGCAGTTGGCCCTGCATTTGTTTTAATGGACGATAACGCACGTCCCCATAGAGCTGACATCGTCGATAACTACCAGGAGAGTGAAGGGATTGCGCGTCTGGCGTGGCTAGCATATTCGCCTGACCTTAATCCCATAGAAAATCTTTGGGATGCTCTCGGCCGTGCTGTATCTTCACGTTTCCCACCTCCAGCCACTCTTATTGAGCTGGAAACTGCTCTACAAGAAGAATGGTGATTGCTTAATTCTGCGGTGTTTGACCACCTAATTGAAAGCATGGTCACAAGGTGTAAAACTTTGTATACAGATGAGGGGGGGGGAATTACATACCCTATTAATGTCCTTTTTTTTCATTTTATGCTGTTTATTTTCACTTTATACATAATTCTGTTTAAGTCTCCAGTATGTCATTATCTGATAACTTACAAAAATTTAATATTGTTTTCATTTCTGTGTATAATTATTGATTTTGTTTTATGCATAAATATATATGTTACTGTCCTGCCGAATTTTATGTCAATTAAAGCAGTATTTGTTGATTTTTTTGCATTTTACATTTTCGTGCTTAACTTTTGGAAGTGAGTGTATATTGGAATGTCTGGTTCTTGTTGTATGAGGGTATTTGTTACAGGTAAGACACCTCAGATCTCTCAAATTATAGTCCAAAGTTCATAAATAAAGTTCATGGGTTCAGCTGAGTACGTTTGGGGCTTTGAAGAATTATAGAAATTACTTATGTTTTTCAGAACTATTGGAGTGTACCCTAGTCATTGCTCTTTCCGCGTTTTCACGCTCAATCCTAAGGTGTGACTTGACATTGGTTTATTCCTAGAGCACTGAGATTTTGGTGTAGTTTTATGATTTGATGGTATAGGTGGATGGTAAGATATCACCAGTCTTTTGAAACTAAGAATCCAGATTGTTGGATTTTCCAAAGGTGCAGGTCACTTGTAAGAGGGCAGATGAATAGCTCTGCATCTTCATTAACCCTTTAGACGCAATTGCCGCTATTAGAGAAGTTCCCTTTAATAAAATAATTCGGATATGAGCAACGACCGGTCAGGTAACATGTTAAGAAAAACGCAAAGTTTTGGACTTTTGTGCTGGTTCAAGGGAAGAACTGGTAGGTACGCCGGCCTGTTGTGGTGTTGTTCTATTCTTCTTGCCACTCGTGGTTTAAATGCTTGTTTAGGATTGGTCATAGTTGCGATTTTGGAAGCTTGATGTTCAGGAACTCGCCTTCTTCGGAAAGGAGCTGCTGCTTTCACAAGATTATCTACAGTGTCATCGCCGACGTCGCCGCTGCGTCCTGCGTAAGATGCACACACTAAAGGTCTCCAAGTTGTGGATGGAGATCTTTAGCAATTGCATCTTAGGCATTGTGTTACAGAAAATTACAACAGTGAGGTTTTTCAACCGGTATGTTAACACCTCGGTAGATCGGTCGTCCTTCTGTTGACGAAACGAAAAGAAAGAAAGTATACATTTTGTTTAAAAATATTTTGTTCTTAAATTTTGTAGCTGCTGTCCCAAAACGTGTGACAGTTATTGAGGTTAGTTGAAAGGCTTTAGTTTCGATATTCCGAATAAGGTACAGGTATTTATGATGGCCTTTCTTCCTTTGGGCTTATAATATCGGCTGTGCCTTATAATGCATCGCGAATACTGCTCTCGATATTGAGGCTGCAAATCAAAATGACAGGTTTAGCTGTCCTTTGCGGATACTATAAGTAAGAGCATTAGGATAAATTTATTGTTATATTTAATGAATTTTTAAACAAAAATTGGCTATTCTTAGATTAACATATAACCATTCCCTATGTCAATAAACAATAAATTAATTATACCATATGGAAGAGAAAGTTTTATTATTTCATTGGCTATCCAAAACAAATATGTATATATATTACCTTCCTTGTAGAACATTTTGTTCCGGCAAATCTTTTAGATAACGATTCTAGAAATTTCGAAACCTGAAACATGCGGTTTTCACATCTATGCAATAACAAGTCCCTACATTCTGGAGAAAAAGAATCCAAATATTAATATGTTATCATTTACAGCCTTTGTTACGATATATAACATAATAGATATACAGAGATATACAGTGATATACAGTTTCTAAGACGATCACCTACTACTCCATATGGTGTGAGTCTTCTGTGAAGATGGTCGTTTCAAAAACATATATTATTTTCAAAGCAATCATATGTTAATTTCAAAAGGGTAAACCTCTATTTTACAGATTTAGCCAGATATTAATGTGAATAGATTATTTCCATGCCCAGCCGAGAAATGTTTGAAGGAAGGGATCGGCCTACTTGAAAAAAAGTCATACCTTTGCCTAGAGTCGAATTCGAAACCATCGAATTACCAGTCGAATAGGCTGAGAAACATCGAGAGAGCATAGGGGCTATTGTGTCTTTAATCGTTTACAGCCATAGTTAGTACGTAAAGATCTTATTTTATTCAACCCAATTATTTTTAGTTTAAGCAACTTTTCTTTCCCTTTTGATTTCATTTTCCAGCCAGAATGTAAATTTTACGACGTATGTGCAAATTTAAGTGTGTTGGAAACAGTATTTAAGCAGCAGTTTTAAGAGCTCAAGGTAGGCGTGTTAGTTCTGCATTTATACCGCGTGGTTCATTTAGTAACTTTGTAGTTGAACAGTTGGTGCTAGCCAATTTCCTTAGATTATATTGCTATTCTAGGCTCGGCTTTGCTGTGTGCAGCCGATTAAGCAGGTTAGACAGATTAAGAGCCAGTTGTGTAGTTAAACTTTAATTTATTGCGATTCTACATACTAGTTTCTGTTCAAGTTACTTAGCCACAAGTGGTGGTTAAAGTGTGAGCACTGGATGAATGCATTTCTGTTCCGTATGATTTCTCCAGCAGTCATTTGTTCTGTCAAGACCTAGCGAGAATTCGCCTTTCAGTGGGGCCTACCAGTTTATGTTCCCAAAAAACACTAGAAGACTCTACAAGTGGAGCTCGAACTAAAAAGTGGTTAATGATGATTCTTCACGACCATGATTTTGCGACTGAGTCTCCTAATCCCCAGTTGCCCTTTAATAGGGGGAGTATATAAGGTACTTTCTCCCTCCTTTCTGCATGCCTTCGTCGTGTAGAGGTAGCGCACTCGGCGGGTATTCGAGAGGTCCAGGTTTGAGTCCCGGTGAGGGCGTAGCTCATTTTTCATGTCCCCTGCTTCAAATTTACCTAATGACTCTACAAGTAAAGAAACATACGTAATACACTGTGAAATTCTTATACAATAAGCTAACAGCTAATTGTATTGATTGCTAACAACTTATTGCATGTCTCTGAAATGCGATGGTTATAAAAGAGATCTGACTTCGCCAGCCATGCCCACAAAGGTGCTATGAATCTGGGCCAATCTATCGCATGATTCAGTGTTTCCATAACATCACACCTGAGAAAGAGTGAATTAGACTGAGATATGCACATTAAAATGTATTGTAATCAGAACTCAAATCTGTAATGCGAACCATTTCTGAAAACAATTTCTGTCGATGGGAGTTTTAGAACGAGCTAGCATGTGACTAAAAAAGATGGGATTGGTAAGTAGTGGTTCCGGATAACACATGAAAGCTGCTGAAATCAAATATAAGTAACATCCCAATATCAGAAGTCTTGAAGTTCATCAGTATCTTCAGGTATTTTCTTGGTCCCATCAGTGGCAGTAAAAACGCTGAATGCTGGTAATTCGAGTCATACCTATTTGCCTGAGACGAATTCGAGTTCGGGCAAAGAGGGCGGCTTCGTGGTTGATTTTCATTATTTTCCTTATATGCAACGTAAATACAAGCTAACTTCCCTTAGAAATCTTCCGCGAAGGCAACCTTTCCCTTAGGCAGATAGCCCTCATTTGATTCGGCATACTTTATTTACTACCAACAACCAATATTAAGCATTTAATGTACCATCAAAAATGTTATGCTAGATAACAAAATGAAGAATGAGGCGTAAGCAAAAGAAAACAAAACGTAAGAAAAATTACAATTCGAAAGATGCAGATTGCAGGTACAATTAAAAAAAAAAAAAAAAAAAAAAAAAATTACTAGAAAAAATTTCAATTTTTCTTAAGCAAAAATCTAAATTTTAAAGAAAATGCTTCTTTGTCAGTCATAGAGCACAAAACATTCGAAATTTCTTTTATTAATTACAAAAAAAAAAAAAAAAAAAAAAAAAAGCAAAGGCTCATAAAAAAAATCATCATTTGGATGTGAGTAAAGTAAATACATTTTAATTTGTATCAATTAGATATGTTATTAAAAAATAAAATATTGCGATATGTTACAAATATATGTATTTTAATTTACATATACACTAAAAAGTAAATAAAGATTTAAACGTATTAAAAACTGCTTGTATTGATTTTAATTCGCTTTCTTAGCAGTGCCAGATAGATTAAATTTGAACGAAAAACTATAAAGATCTTATACTTTGCCGAGTGGCAAAGTGCTGAGAAATGGTTATACAATGTGAGGCACGCAAAACCGGCCCTTGCGCTTTTGGCGACAATTAAATTATTTTCAGCTTCCTACTAAGAGATAGCGTGATGAGCCGGGGTCGGGGCATGTGATCTGCAGGTGCACATATAGATGTAAAATCACATTATGTTTCGGTTACACTGGACTGGACGTCGAAAGGGGCAATTCTCAGAACGCGCACATTTCCAGGAACCCACGTAGCTAGGTTACCATTTTCACTTACTACAAAGACTTAAACGCCGAACAGTAATCGATTATCGCTCAGATTCGAGTCACGTGATCCTTCAGAAGTATAACTTTCGTCTGATTATTTGACTCTACCCGGGACAGAGCTCCATCCGAGACATTTTCGGTTAGGTTTGAAAAAAACCCCGCATAGCCGCTACATCGTTTCCGTAACTAGACGGGACTTCGCTTCCAGCGGTGCTCTTTATTCTAGGAATCCTCCCGTTTACACTAGTGCTACCAAAATCTCGTTTCTCAGAAAAGTCCCTTCAAGCAGGGACTATCGTTAGAAGTGATAGCCCCTTAAAGCAGCTGCAGCTGTAGCCAGTGAAACATGTCCAAACGAATTGAGAAGTAGATCTGGTTATGTGAAGCCGGGTGAGTGTGTGATAATGTCGTATTCGATACCCGAGCGGGTTGCCACTGTTGAATTCATATTCAAAATATATTCATATTGTTGTTCACATTAAAAACATTACATTTCATTTTATGCATTGACTTTGTTTATTCATTGATATTAAGTTCATCTTCTGATGTCTGATGAAGGGACGGCCCGGTTTTGCGTGCAGCACCCTGTATAAAAAGTCGCAAGGAAGATTAGGAAAGGTTGTTTTGTGCAGTGAAATACTTTCCACGGACTTTTTCTAGTTTCTTTTTCCTTGTTCTCTTCCTTTTAACTCCAGAGACATGTCACGTTTACAGATTTTATTTCGCCAGGACAGGATTTTATACCTTATGTGAACATAATACATCATCTCAGGCGTAAAAAAAAAATGGTGCTTTTAAACTAACGGCCACTAATACACAGCGGCACACGAAAAATCGTTCCTTTGGCATTTTTACGGACAAATCTCACCTGCTTCACTGCTGCGACTACTACGGTAGACTGTTTCCATTGCCTGTACAAAAGCCATGAAGAAACGTAAAGGAGGGTTTTGTGCAGTCATGTAATGTAACTAGACCTGCTTAAATGTTAATCTTACGACTTCTCGTAAAGAATGGAAGATGAATACAACAGAGAAAGGGTGTAAAAGACCCTTTTATTGAACACAATAGTTTACAGACGGCACGGACTTGCGTGCTTGAAATCACCGATTATTTGTGGTGAGAAACTTAAAAGATAATGTAACACTAAATTTAAAGAGTAATGGAAAACTACACATTTCAGTTTTCTGTAACAAGTTGACTCAGAAATGGCAGGATAATAGTTCGAGGACAAGACAGTGGCGTAGCGAGCATAACTGCCGCCCGTGGCAAAATACCTTTTTAGCGCCTCACAAAAAAAAAACACTTACAGTAATATAATGTATAGAATATATTCGTAATAAGAAAATAATGCAAATAGCAATAAAATGCTAATTTACATCGCGGCGAATAAGAGAAGTCAGAAAAGGCTAACAAATTTAAATAACTATTAGTGAAAATAAGTGAAACCCTACACGATGACTGGAGTGAAGATGCGCTGTCCTCTCATTTAAGCTTGACAATGCTGATAAATACGACTAACATCCAAACAGAAATCAGCTTGCCAACTGGCGCCGTAAACACACTAGCACCTACCTCGTAATCTTGGCTACGACTAACTCAACTGCCAACCTCAATGCGGACACAGATAGTGAAAATCCCAATGTATTTAATTATCCCAAGCGCATCTCGAGAGTACCCTCCATTCAGATGGAGAGCAAGCGATTCAAGTAGGAAAATATCTGGAAATGATCGCTGATTAAGCATTCAACAAACATTACATTATTAACGTAAATCATTCTTGGAATCATTTTCTCAAAGCAAAACATTCAAAATGAGGATGCAGAAGTACGAACTTTAAAGAGAAAATACTGCTCGAGAATTTTCTGACCCATCCTGTAGCAATCTAGCTCCGGGAGAAACCACTTATAGGCCAAATTACTTCCCGTGATAGCCTATATATCATTATTTCCAGTGCTTCTATATGCATGGCACTTGAAACGAAAGTGGAACTTTCCCTTGATCACTTTCCAATATTAGCGACGTTTGAATAACTTGATAATCCAGAAAAATTGACATTGCTATAAGTGAAATCGCGGAAATCATCTCACAGGCCTATGAAGTCGCAACGAGAACTACTAATTCTCAACACAAACTTATTAAATTTCCAAAAGAAATTCGTGACTTAATCAAGCAAATAAATTAACAGTGCAACGTTAAGAAGCTTGGAACACTGTTCTTTTCATGGTTCACCCCCATACCATTTTAATACTTTTTCTTTATCAGTTTTTACGGGCTTTTCAGTAGCAAAGCGGT